GGCCGGGGCGCAGGAGGCCGCGGCCGCCCGCGCAGCCTCGCTCGAGCCGGTCTCCGTGGCAACGGGCTCGCGGGGGGGAGGGGCCGGGCGGCGTGGGCTGCGGCGGCTGCTATTTCTGCCGCTTCCTGTTCCTCGCGGCCACGTCGCCATGGCAACGGTGTTACTCACCGCGGCCGCTTCCCGGCTCGGCTGGCGCGCGTGACCCCGGCCGCCCGCGCCCCCTCGTCTCTCACTCGCTGTGCTGCCGCTCTCCACCCCCCCACCCCACCCCACCCCGGCGGCGTCCTCCTCCGGCACCCCGGTCCGTCCAGCGCGCCCCGGCGCCCCATCCTTCCCCTGCTCCCCGCCCCTCTCCGCCGGTGCCCGCGGCCCGGGGCTGGGGGGTGGGGGGGGTGGGATGGCGGCAGATTGATGGGGGACGCTTATTAAAAAACATTGTAACCGTTTCCGTTTTTATTACGTTGACAAGGGAGCGTTATTTACTGTTATTGTTTGCCGAGCTGGCCGCGCCCGAGCGCGGGCGGCCTCCCGGGAGCTCACCTTTCGGGCGGGCCCGGGGAAGTCGCGGGTGGGAGAGGGAGGCGGGGGCTGGCGAGGGGCCGCCCCGGGCGGCCGCGGCCCCCCCGGGGGGCCTGCCCCTCGCCCCTTCCCCCCCCACCCCTCCAGCCAGCCCCGGCCGACCCCCGCCGCGGCGCGTGTGCGTGCGCGCGCGGGGAGAGACTGCAGAGGCCGGGGACTCGTGCTGAAGGAGAGAGGCAACAAAAAATAAAAAAAGGAACAGATGACTTCATTCCCGGGAAGGCTCCGTCCTACGTGGACCAATTTCCTGGGGACTGTGGTGGAACAGCTCCGCTGCCGTTGGAAGCACTTAAAACTAAACCAGAAAAAAGACCAGAAAATTCTTCAGCATTGCCTGAACCCAGCGAGGGCAGGTTGGTGGCGTGTGAGCCCTTGGGTTTGCGGGGAGGAGGGTCGAATTCCTCCACCCCCCTCCCCGCTGGGGCTTGGCTTCCAGCAAACCTCCCCACCTCCCCGCTTAGATTCTCTACCCTGAGAGGGTGAGCGACTGCCCCAAGGTCACACAGCCGGGTTTCTTTTTTTTTTTTTTCCTTTCTTTTTATTCTGCTTAGACCCTTGCAGGGACAAAACCCGGCAGAGGCTGGTGAAGGAAAGCCAGTGGCTGGACTGGAAGCCTTGGAATAGGGCGAGGCTCAGCTGGAGGCCCAGTAAGGGAAGATTAACTCGGTGGGTCTAAGCTCTGGCTGGCCCGGCTCCTGCTCACCCCACTGGAGCCTTCAGCTGGGGGTGGGGGGGGGGGGGTTGTGGAAGATGCGGGCCCGTCTGTCCGTTGGGATCTGATGGGCCTGGAGGATGCCCCCCGCCCGCAAGCCCCTGCTGGGATGCTAATCTCATCCTGCTAATTAAAGTTTGCAGTTCTATCCCTAACTCAGCTCCCCACTCTTGAACAGTATTAGCTGAGTTGCAAACAATTGCTGGTCCAGACAGAAGCCAGAGGAAGAAGGCCTCTGGAGTTCACGTTATAAAGATAAAAAACGGATTTGAAAAATGTTTATACTTATAAACAAACGACTCCTAATGAACAGGGCGAGTTTTGGAAACTGAATCTTAAGAACCCCCCCACCCCCCCACCCCCCCCCCCCCAGCCGGGTTTGTGGTGGTTTCCCCCACCACCTCCCCTCCCCGACCCCCGTTCCAAGGACACGAGGCTTGGGATTTGGTGGATTTGGTCACTGCCGCCCCTCTCGGTCTCTTGGCCTCAGATGATCAACCAGCGCTCCCCCAGGCCCAGGATCGCCTCTCCAGGCCGTCTGGAGTCTAAAGCGACAAGCCAGTTCCCCACTAAGACCTGTGGGTCTGGGGCGCCACAGCAAGGTAAAGTTATCTTCAGCTCTGTCCCAGCGTCCACCAGTTTGGAGCTGCAGGAGTCCTCCCTTGAGCGCATGAATCAGAAGTCGGGCTCCCAGAAAAGAGAATACCCCACCCCCAGTCCTTCCCCAGTCCTTTGCTGCCAGCGCTGTGATAGGGGAAGGCGGGACCGCCCTCCACTCCTCCCCATGGGCCGGCCTTCCAAGCAAAACTCATCTCTGGGAGCAGGTTTAGAGTTTAGCTGATGTGAAAGTCCTGCCCCTGGGCAGTGTTTGAATAGGACTGAAACGACAGGTGACAGCCAGCGCCGTCCAGAACTAGGAGGACGTCGGAGATGATGCAGACCGACCACTCCTGCTTCCCTATCTTACAGGTGGGCAAACTGAGGCCCAGAGAGGGAAGGAGACCTGACCATTGGTTAGAGCCAGGACCCAGGTGCCTTGCCTTCCATTCGGTGTGCATTGCCCCACTCTGATTCTTCTGTGGAGTCCCCTGTGTGATCAGAAGTTCAGGAGCTGGGGGGCACCTGGGTGGCTCCGGGCGTTAAGCGTCCGCCTTCGGCTCAGGTCATGATCTCGCGGTTCATGAGTTCGAGCCCCACGTCGGGCTCTGTGCTGACAGCTCAGAGCCTGGAGCCTGCTTCGGATTCCGTGTTTCCCCTCTCTCTCTGCCCCTCCCTCCCTCAAAAAGTGAATAAACATTAGCTGGGGGGCAGAAGGCTCTGAAATCAGACCACTTGGGTTCCGATACTTCTAAGGGCGACCTTGGACAAGTGAATTCTTCTCTCTGAGCTCTCGTAGTCTTGTGTGTTAAGTGGGGATAATGATAGTACCAGCCAGGGCACCTGGGTGGCTTAGTGGGTTAAGCATCCAACTTCGGCTCAGGTTATGATCTCGTGGTTTGTGAGTTCGAGCCCCACATCGGGCTCGCTGCCGTCAGCGTGGAGCCTGCTTCGGATCTTCTGTCTCCCTCTCTCTCCGCCCCTCCCCTGCTCGCGCTCTCTCAAAAATAAATAAACATTAAAAAACATAAGTAAATGACCGTACCAGCCCTGGGTTGTCTTAAGCCCCCACCCGGCAAAGATGGGTCCACATCCTAATCCCTGGAACCTGTGAATGTGACCTTAGTTGGAAAAAGGGTCTCTGCAGATGTGATGAAGTTAAGGATAGTGATGTGAGCGCATCCTCGATTCCCCAGGTGGGGCCTCAGTGCCCTCGCGAGTGTCCTTATAGGAGACAGAAGAGAAGGCAGGGTCGACACCAAACTGAGAGGCAGAGGGCAACGCCTGGAGCCACCGGAAACTGGAAGAAACGAGGAGGGATCCTTCCCTGAGTCTTGCAACGGGACACGGTGCCGCTGGCACGTTGATTTGGGCTTTCTGGCTTCCGGAACTCTGAGATTAATCTTGTCAGCCACCAGGCGTGTGGTCATTAGTTCTGCAGCCACGGGAAGCCCATACGGCGGGGATGCTGGCTGTGATGCCGGGGTGGTGGCCGTGGGAGCGGTGACGGGGACGCTGGTGATGCGGGGGGGGGGGGGGGGGCTGCACTCACTTCCCGGGGCCGCAAACTCTGTGGCTCGAAACAACTGACATGGATTGCCTCGTAGGTCTGGAGACCAGGATTCCAGAATGAGATGTCAGCAGGGCCGTGCTCCCTCTGGAGGTGCCAGAGAAGGAACGTTCCAGGCCTCTCTCTGGGCTGCCGGTGCCTCCGGTGTGCATTGGCTACCGCATGCACCGTTCTCAACCTCCAGTCCCTCGTCCTCACATGGTGCTCTCTCTGGGTCTGCGCGGCGGCGTCTGCCTTCTGGGTGTCACTGCCTCTGGGTCTACACTGCCCCTTTTTATAAGGACACCAGTCATACTGGATTAGGGCCCGCCCTAACGACCTCCTCTTTTTTTTTTTTTTTTTTAATTAATGTTTATTTTTAAGGGGGCGGGTTCAGGCTCTGAGCTGTCAGCACAGAGCCCGACGCGGGGCTCGAACCCACGAACCGTGAGATCATGACCTGAGCCGGAAGCCGGACGCTTCACCGACTGGGCCCCCCGGGCGCCCTCCCCAACGGCCTCATCTTAACCTCGCTCATGTCTGTAAAGTCCCTATCTCCAAATAAGGTCCCATTCTCAGGTACAGAGACACAACTCAGCCTGTACCAGTGGTGACGATGGAGAGGGCGGTGGTGACAGATGGGGGAAGGTACTAGGCCTCAGGCCCCGACCCTCCGATTCTGCAGGAGCTGCGTGGGGAGCAGCGGCCAGTTCAGAAGACCAGGAATCTGTTCGTGCAGTGAGGTGCCGGGTGGGAGTGCCCCGCTGGGGGAGCAGGGAGATACAAAAGATGATCCCAGGGGCGCCTGGGATCGCCCAGGCTGTGGGAGCTGTGAGGCCTCCAGCAGACCCTTTCACAGTTGACCTTGGGTTGGACCCCAGATATTGAGAATGGGCCCGGTTGCTGACAGTTATCTTCTGGGGCCGCCTCGGGCCAGGAGGATGTCCCGGTGAGCTGAGGGCGAAGGGCAAGGAAGGAGGGGCTCAGCTTGGCCTCTGCCTCCTCCCTCTCACAGACCTGCTATGTTTATTCACAGCCAAGGCCCCGCCTCCCCCACTGCGGCCCCCCCCCCCCCCCAGGGCAGGGACCAGGCTTGCAGGGCTGGGGCTGTTTTAAAGAACAGCCAGCCCCCTCCCTTCCCTCTCTGCCCGGGCGCAATGGACAGAAGACAGGTGGATGGCCCCCTGTTTGAATGTGATCTTTTCTCCACCAGACCCTCGGTGGCTCCAGGAAGCTGTGTCACAGGCTGGGCAGAAGAGCAGAGTCAGGCTGGCCTGGCCTTTCTTCCGCGAGCCCACAGCATAGGCTGAGCAAGCCCCCACCCCAGAAAGCCAGCCGGTCTCTGGCAGAAGACGGGCAGGGCCAGGCCGCTGGTGTTTTCGTTACCGGACACGACGACCCCACCTCCCTTCTCAGCCTATCTTTCTCTAGCTTCCGGGGGAGCGAGACTGATCATGACGGTAGCTCTCGTGCATTCCCGCATCCGGTTGTGACGATCGGTGACCACACACTCAGGCCAGGTACTCTCCTGCGCACCCGGAGACAGTGGACAGCAGGACCGGACTCCCACATTTGCGCTGCTCACGTTCTAGGGAAGAGAGAGACGAAGAGCAAAGAAACAGGCCCATACCAGGATCCAGGGAGTACGACAAGATAGAGAGGAAAGCAGGGTGAGGGGCTGGGCTAGGAAGAACCAAAGGACTGGAGTCACTGAGGTGAGGGGGTGACCGTGGACCTGGTGCAGTGATGGAGTGAGCCCCGGGAGAGGTCCACAGCTGGGGGAAGCAGCAAGTGCAAAGGCCCTGGGGTGGCTCATCCTGCTGTCCTGAGGTGGGGGAGCAGAGTGCACAGGTCACCTTGAAACCTCACAGCTTTTCTACATCCGCCCGAAGCCAATGGAGGCGGGGAGGGGCGGGCGAGAGCGAGCCAGCCGGGGGCTGACTTGTGTGGTTAAAGAATCTCTGCTTTCCGCGGAGCACGGGCCGAAAGGGGCCACAGGGAAACTGGAGGAAGAGGTAGGGGCTGGTGGGGACCAGACAAGAGATGGTCGCGGTGGCCTGGTCAGGGACAGCAGCGCCGGGGGCATAAAAACGGCTGGATGTAGGGTGTATTTTGAGAAAAGCCACCAGGATTTGCCAAAGGATGGGCCGTGGGTGTGGAAGACAGAAGAATCAAGGATGGCTGTGTCATCGTGAACAGTGGGAGGTACCATTTCCTGAGCCCAAGGGAGCCGTGGGGGTGCGGTGGGGAATCAAGCGTTGACGTCTCTGAAAAGCCCGTGGGATGCTCCTGTAGTATGCCCTCAGAGCTCTCACTCCCCGGCTTAACCCACACCAACCCCCAAGAGGCGGATTCTACTAGCAACCCCATTTTTCAGATGAGGAAACTGAGGCCCGGAGAGGGGAAGCAGTCCTCCCAAGTGTGGGAGCTGGTGAGGTCCAGCCAGGGGGCTGAGACGCCAGCCGCCAGGAGGAGGCCGGCTGGTCCAGAGGCAAGGGAAGCGGGGAAGTCAACCCACGCAGGAGGGGAGGGGCGCTGGCCTCACAGCGCAAGCAGTCCTGGGACTCCAAGCGGGACATCGAGGAAGCGATGACCGCTAAAGCTGAAACGTGTGTGTGTGTGTGTGTGTGTGTGTGCAGACCATGACCCCAGAGGGATGGCCCAGACCCAAAAAGGGTGAGGAACACCCTCCCCCACCCACCCCAACACTTCCCCAGTCCTTAAACCCAGGACTGACTCCATAACTGTGCTGGAAAGCTCCAGACTATTCCATTCCCAGGCTGGACTACCTCCGGCCTTCAAGGATCAACCACTCCCATTTAAACCCTCGGCCCTAGCTGGGCTAATTATTCCCAGATGATCTCAGTGCTGCCAACACCCCTGAGGGGTTACGGCCATTAGCCCCCTTTTACAGAAGTGGAAACCGAGGCGCCACCGGTGGTAGACCAGGACGCCGAGTCAGGACCGACGCCACCCAGCCTATGTTGGTGCACTGGTGGAGAAACAGGGGCAGTCCCGGCAGGTGCCTTACACGAAGGGCCCCGTTGGGTCCTCATAACAGTCCTCAGGGAGGGCAGCTGCGTTATCCCCATGTTACAGGCCAAGAAAGGGAGAGTCCAGGGGGAGGGAGTCAGTTACCCCCAATTTTGTACAACTAGTGAGCGGGTGACATTCGAACTCAGGATGGTCGGACTCCAGGGCCCAGGCTCCCGTGAACCTAGGAGAACAGGAGAGTTAGGTGAGCGGCAGGCCTCACCACCCCCACATCCCCATCCCCCAGCGTGCCTAGGTGGCCGCAGGGCACAGAGGAACAGACGCGTCCCTGACCTCCCTGTTGGTCACCTTGCAGGCCCGATGGCCAGCCTGGCTTCTGTCTCCTCGCATCATTTCACTGTTACGATCTGTGCTGCCCCAGCCTGGACCTGACTCCCCTGCCCTCGGGGCTGCCCTTGATTGCGGGTCCCTGCAGTACAGTGACCGCTGGGAGGGCACTCTGGGGATACGGGCCTTCCAGAAGCTTTGGGCCGCTCAGGGTCGCTCCTTGCCCCAGAGCCTCGGAAAATGCAGCTGCTGAACCCTGGGAGACTACCCAGCCTAGAACGCCACGCAACCCTGGCCTTAGCTTAGGCTGAACCTGGAGGTGCCTCCAGGGGCGGGGACCCAGGGAAGGGGTACGGGGGTCCTCCTGGGGGGGGTGTGACCCTCACCTCCATCACCGCTGCAGTGAGCATGCCTGTGTGTGTGTGTGTGTGTGTGTGTGTGTGTGTGAGGGTGGGTAGGGTGAGCAGAAAGGAGCAGGATGGGAGAGGCCGAGGATGGGAAAGAGAGAGAGAAGAGAGACA